TCTTTAATAAGCTATTGTGGTGAATTATACAAGTGTATTTTCTAATATTAAAGGATCATTGTATTTCTGAAATAACACTACTTGGTCATTTTTAAATATGTTACTGATTTCTGTTGCTAATACTTTTTGTGTGGGCTTTTTCTTTTTGACTTTTCCATTTATAGTCATGAATAAGACTGGGGTCTAGATTGTTTTTTTTTCACGTTGACACATAATGCTTTCTTCTTTGATGATTCTCTCTCTTTTAAGCATTAAGAAGCATTGATAATCAGAGGAGGGATGGACTAAGATAGAGCAGAGCTTGACTGGGTTTAAACAGAGTCTTCAGGATCCTGTGTCTGTCCATCTCTGAGTTCAATGTAGTCCACTTTGTGTTGGTACAGGAATCTGTACCTATTCATTTTGTAAAAAGTAACATATCTTTACATTTTTAGTCCATTTCAGCTATCAATTATTGAGGGAACTCTTGACAAACATGCCATTATATACAATGTCCTTATATTGTGACTAGACACTGTGGTTCACGATTATAATCCCAGGAAGATGACTTGCGGCCAGGAGTTTGAGACCAGCCTGGGCCACATAGCAAGATCTAGTCTCTACAAAAAATTTTTATTTTTTAAATTTTTTTTTGAGTTTGAGTCTTACTCTGTTTCCCAGACTGGAGTGCAGTGGCCGCTCCCAGCCACTGCAGCCTCGACCTGCTGGGCTCCGGCGATCCTTCCACCTCAGCCTTCCAAGTAGCTGGAACTACAGGTGTGCGCTACCATACCCGGCTAATTTTTTGATTTATTGTAGAGATGAGGTCTCACCAAGTTGCCCAGGCGGGTTTTGAACCTTCAGGCTCAGGCAATTCACTCACCTCAGCCTCCCAAGGCACGGGAATTACAGGCTGAGCCACCGAGCCTGGCTTACAAAAAATTTTTAAAAAGTGAGATGGGTATGGTAGCCTGTGCCTGTACTCCAGCTATTTGGGAGGCAGAGGCAGGTAGATCACCTGAGCCCAGAAGGTTGAGGCTGCGGTGAGTTGTGATCAGCCAATGTATGCCATCATGGGTGACAGAGTGAGACTCTGACTCAAAAAAACAAAAACAAAACAAAAAACTCTTGTGTTTCTTTAAATTTTCCTGAGGATTGAGTCTTTATTATTAGGTGCATATCACACTTGAGCTCTCCTAGCTTCCTGTTGAACTGATAATTTAATCATCATGTAGTAACTCTGTATCTCCCTAATAATGAATTTATACCTAAAGTTTATTTGTCTGATTTTTTTTAGATTTATATTGTTCTCTCCTTTTTTAACTGTTAAATTTTTTTATTTTAAAATTGTGGGGTACAATTCAGGGTTAGGTATACAAATATTCATTGTACAGGTACCCTTGTTGAAGAAGTGTGCTCCCTCTTCCCCAGGCAGATATCTACTACAGTCAATTCCACCTTCCCCCACTCCTCCCTGCAGTTTCCCGCTTCTGTCAATTCGTTTCTTATAGTATTATGGTAGTTGTTCAAGGCCCACTTATGAATGGGAACATGTGATACTTAGTTCTTTGTTTCTGTGATTGATCACTCAGTATTATAGATTCTAAGTCCATTCAAGTTGCTGCGAAGTTCATAATTCTGTCCTTCTTTATGGTTGCGTAATATTCCATCATGTATGTATACTACATTATTTTTATCTAGTCCTCTTTTGACAGGCAACACGGTTGGTTCCATGGTTTTGATATTGTGAACAATGCTGCAATAAACGTGTGTGTGCAGGTATCTTTTGCATAGAGTGATTTGAGGTCCTCTGGGTATATTCCCAGTAGGGGGATTGTGGGGTCACCAGGAAGGTCGATTTTTAGATCTTCTAGGAGTTGCCAAACTGTTTTCCACAGAGATTGTACCAGTTACACTCCCACCAACGATGTAGAAATGTTGCCTTTTCCCCTCATCCTCTCCAGCATCTGTTGTTTTTTGAGCTATTGATGATGGCCATCCTTATGGGAATTAGGTGGTATCTCAGTGGTTTTAATTTGCATTTCTTTGATGACTAGCGAGGCTGAGCATTTTTTCATTTTTCTGTTGGCAGGTCATATGTCTTTTATAACTTTTGCCCACTTTGCAATGGGGCTGTTTGCAATGGGGCTTTGCAATGGGGCTTTTATAACTTTTGCCCACTTTGCAATGGGGCTGTTTGCTTTTTTTTCTTTTGGGCATGTTTGAGTTCCTTGTAGATCCTAAGATGTTAGGCCTTTGTCAGGTATACAGTTGGCAAATATTTTTTCCCAGTCTGTGTACTGTCTCCCTCTTCTCTTGCTGGTTTCTTTGGTTTTGCAGAAGCTTGTCAGTTTCATGAATTCCCACTTGTCTATCTTATCTCTTATGGCATGGGCACTTCGGGTTTTGATCAGGAATTGATTGCCAGTTCCAATTTCGATAAGGGTGTCTCTTGCATTTTATAAGGTTCTCATAGTTTGAGGTTTAGTGTTTAGGTCTCTGATCCATTTAGAGTTAATTTTTTTGTATGGTGATAGATAAGGGTCTTGTTTTAATCTTCTGCATGTGATCAGCCTGTTTTCCCAGCACCATTTACTGAATAGGTTTGGCCTTCTTTTAGCTTTCCTCTTATATAGATCTTGTTCTGAGTCTCTTCCCACTTCTTGCTACTGCTCAGCTCTGCTGAAAGAGCTAGTATTTTTGAGTTGGCCAACAGACTGTTTACATTCCTTGCTCCTTTGGCCACTTTTTGATCTTTGCCCTTTCCAGTTCAGTGAAAAAAAATTATTAAGCTCTGAAGAGTACGCAAAAACCATTCTGCTTAACACCCTTTTCAACACTTTGCTCTTTTCTTGTCGTGCTGTGTTTCATTTGTTTGGGTTTTGAAGGAAGTAACAAAAGCCAAACTGCTGGTTAAAGTTGATATCACAGTGAAACCTGGTTCCACAGCAATATAAATATAAGTCACAGTTTTACATTCTTCATATTGGCTATTAGTGTACAAATTAGCATTTAAATAGAAATTAGCATTTAATTATTCATATAGCTAAGCAAGACATTTTTTGTTTACCATTTGCAAGGCCATATCCTCCTGAATATGTGCTAAAAGGTATTCTACCCAGAGTATAGAAAAAATAAATGGATAGTCAGAGGACTAAGTTTTGGTCTTGTCTTCTTAATAGCTAAGTAATCTTTGGCAGGTCACTTTAAATCTGCGTACCTTTACTTCAATGGACCTCAGTTTCTTCATCTGTGAAATGATCTGGCAGGAAGTGTTAGTTATCTATTGCTGTATAGCAAATTATCTCAACACTTAATGGCTTAATGTAGCAGATATTATTTTCTTACAGTTTCTGTAGTCAGAAATCTGGCCTGGGCTTAGCTAGGTACCTTTGGCTTCAAATTACTCAGAAGGCTGCCATCAAGATGCCTGCCAGGACTGTGGGATGATCCTTTCCAAGCTCACTGGTGCGATAACTGGCAGGATTCAGCTCCTCATGTGTTGTTGTACTGAGGACTTCAGTTACTCGCTGGCTGCTAACCAGAGACCTCCCTCAGTTCCTTTCCTTGTGCACCCTTCCATGATATGACTACTTGCTCTCTCACAACAAGGACTCCGACAAGGAAAGTGAAAGAGAGTCAGCAAGACAGAAGTCACAATCTTTGTATGATTTAATCTCGGAAGCGACATTCCTATGTTTTCTCTAGTCTCAGTAAGTTGCAAGTCACTAGGTTCAGTCAGCACTCAAGAGGAGAGACTTTTTTGTACTCCCAACTTAGTTATGATTCTCCCAAATTAGTTGATGTAAGAAAGGAACTACATGCATTTTAGTTTTCACTTGAGTCATTTATTCATTGTGGGATAAGGCAATACTTTTCTTAAGAAAGAATGAGAATATATTTGTGTCATGGAAAGACAACTTTCTCCTTTAGGAGGAGTTGAGAGACTGTATGCGTGTCACATATGTGTAATACATACACACATGTAGCACATATATTTAAAAGCCAAACAGGCCATGCATGGTGGCTCATACCTATAATCTCAACAATTTGGGTGACTGAGCCGGGAGGATTGCTTGAGCGCAGGAGTTCGAGATCAACAGGGGCAACGCAGCAAGATAGAATATCTACAAAAATAAAAAAAAAATTAGCTGTGCATGGTGGTCCATGCCTGGAATACCAGCTACTCAAGAAACTGAGGCAGAAGGATCGCCTGAGCACAGGAGATTGAAACTGCGGTGAGCCATGTCTGTTCCACTGCACTCCAGCCTGGGTGACAGATTGAGGCCCTCACTCTAAATAAATAAATAGATAGATAGATACATTTCAAAGCAAAATGTTTGATTTGAAAGCTTCTGCGCCAGGCTCTGTGGCTCAACCTAAAATCCCACGCTTTGGGAGGCTGAGGTGAGTGGATTGCCTGAACCCGTGGGTTCGAGACCCGCCTGGGCAACTTGGCAAGACCTCATCTCTACAGTAAATCAAAAACTTAGCTGGGCGTGGTAGCATGCGCCTGTAGTTCCAGCTACTTAGAAGGCTGAGGCAGAAGGATCTCCGGAGTCCAGCAGTCGAGGCTGCAGTGGTCAGGAGCGGTCACTGCACTCCAGTCTAGGTGACAGAGTGAGACTCCAACTCAAAAAAATAAAAAAAAAGAAAGATTCTGAATAAGTTAATTGCAAAGTCCATTTTATTTTTAAAAGTCAAGGCCGATATCAATGATACTCCATTTGTAATTTTGAATTCCTCATGATATAAGTGTTATAGTTTAGGATATTAAAATATATTTATGTATTTTATTATAATGAAAGAGTGATTACTTTGTGCTTACCATATTGTTACATAGGAGGGACAATGGCCAGAAAAATTGGTTGTAGGACATAGCACAACTTGTCTAAATGTCAGTTCCCTTATGTGTAAAATGAAGTTATTGATGTCACAATCTCAAATGAGATGTTTTGTGCTTTATAAATGACAATGTTCTACCAGGAAATAGACTTACTTTGACTAACCTCTTGTTTCAGGCCATGTGTGACCAGCGGGGCTGCTGCTGGAATCCTCAGGGAGCTATAAGTGTTCCCTGGTGCTACTATTCCAAAAATCATGGTTACCATATGGAGGGCAACCTTGTAAACACAAATGCAGGTAAGCTAGACTCTGCCATGAGGCAGAAGCTCCACAACCTCTGGAGGCTGGTTCTGTTTCCTTGGAGGAGCGCTGTGGCAACCTTCAGCATATTACCCTGAAGGGCCACACTGCCACGTGTGCCCAGAAGTTGGACACTGCTCTCAGTTGAAGAATGGAATATATTTGGGCACCAAGGAAAAACCTCTCTCTGCCCTGGGAGTTGAGAGACTACCTTCTATTTCTGGCTTCAACTTTATGTACCTTTGTGACCTTATGCAATCAGCAATGACCGTTTTTTTCCTCGTTTGTTACTTTTAAAGTAAGAGATTTGAAATCAGTAACCTCTGAGACTACTTCCAACTGTAATTTTGTGTATTGTTTTATGAAATGGAAATAATTCCAATTTAGGAACAGGTTATAAAAGTTACCTAGTTAATGCCAGTGTTCATGGACTATGTATCTGCACGTCTTCTGCCTACCCTAAAATGCAGAGTATAATAATGAACATTCTGGGGGACAACAGAAGGTGACTACATTGGGGAGGCTTTCAGTATAAAATAAGACATGTTCCCCAGTAAGGGGCTCTTGACCTGGTGTGCTCTTCTAATAAGATCTCAACTCTCACTTGGTTTACTTTTTTGTTTGGGAGATGGCATCAAAGCATATCATCACCTGTAGTATAACATGAAAATAACTGAAAAGGAATAATGTATATATACAAAATGGGGCTAAAAGTGTGGCATCTGATTAACAAAGAATGACTGATGAGCTAGTGGAAGGAGAGTCAGGCCTTTTGGGAGAAGTTTTCAATCAGATTTTGTAGAAGAAATGTATATAATTTTGGATAAGGCAATCACAATATGTAGCTTCAGAATCTGGCCCTAGATAGAATGTATGTATGGTGGAGTGTGTGTCTGTCCCTTCCCTTCCTTTGAGAAATGAAGCCCTTTCATCAGCTCCTTTGAAATGAAGCTTAATTTTTATGTGGCTACTATTTATGAATTTATAAAGTCAACTATGAAAACTTTTTTTCCCCTATATGTTAGGATTCACAGCTCAATTGAAAAATCTGTCTTCTTCATCCCTTTTTGGAAAGAATGTCGAAAACGTACTTCTCACAGCGGAATATCAGACATCTAACCGTTTCCACTTTAAGGTTGTAATTTGTTTATTTTTAAAAAATATTTTTGAGAGGGTCTTGTTTCCTACCTGATGACAGGGAGTACAAAAATTTTTTAAAGCTTGCTCTTGTTGGTATTTTTCTCTACTGTTATCTTAGTTTAGCACCTGTACATTAAAGACCTCTGTAGACTTCCTTCAGTGTGATAACTTCTTAAATAATATTATAGAATTTATGGTGGGCTTTGGCCTTCATTTATTTGCACTAGATACTATGTGAAATATAGTAGAAACAGAATCAAAGAATTATCACAGCTTTGACTTTTCTAGGGATAATCCATCTCTGCAGATGTGCTGTTTATATCTCTTCCTAAAGACTAACTTGTGGCCAAATGTTAAACATTTTGAATTTGGTAACATAATGAGTATGTCTACCTTAGACATAAGGCCAGTTTGATCAGTGCCTGATTCCAGGACTATAATCACAGATATTCGGAAGCACTGATGTTGGTAGGAAAACTTCTATTTTTGACAAACCGAAAGGGTTCCATTTTACCTTTCCATATATCTCTCTGTACAGTTGACTGACCAAACCAAGGACAGGTATGAAGTGCCCCATGAAAATGTGCCACCCTTCAGTGGAAGTGCTGCTGCTTCTTTGACCTACGAAGTTGAGGTCTCCAAACAACCATTTAGCATCAAAGTGACCAGAAGAGGCAACAATCGTGTTTTGTAAGTTTTAGAAATTTATCTGAAGATCCGAGTAGAACATGTAAAAAGAAGAGAGATCCGTGTGCCTAAGGAAGGGTGCATTTCAACAATATTCCTGAAGGTTGTAAGCCCACTATTGGTGCCCAGACTCTGTACCGCCTAAAGTATGTATTTTTTCTGCCTACCTTCCTCTTTTCTCTTTTTAAAAAAATCTTTATTTTCTTTATCTTCCCCTTTCTTTTCTCAGTCTATCTAACCATCTGTCCACTTACTGAACATCTGGTCACACAGTAGAGTGTCTGGGGAACAAATGTAAGAAATGTGCCACAAGGTACCTGTCTTCAAGGAATCCAGATTTCTTGGTGTACCTGAAAAAAATTGTCATAGAAGGGCAAATGGGACTAATTAAAGATGGCCAATGGAGTCACTGAGATATAAAGGACACCTTTCTAAGTAATTACATTATTTTTACCCTACTTGTGCACCCTGTGTCTAGGTTTGACTCGAGCATTGGGCCCCTCCTGTTTGCTGACCAGTTCCTGCAGCTCTCCATCCGACTGCCCAGTGCTAATGTGTATGGTCTGGGGGAACATGTGCACCAACAATACCGGCATGATATGAATTGGAAGACATGGCCCATATTTAACAGGGACACAACCCCCAATGGGGTAAGCTTTCAGATGGGCCCCGTTCCACTGAGCATCATAGCCTCATTCTTGAAGGTCACCTCTAGTAGTAAATATAGTGTTTTAGAGTGAGATTCTAAGGGGAGATTGCCTGGATTTGAATTCTGGCCCAGCTACTTACCAGTGATGGTCTGGGCAAGTTACTTAACACTCTATGACTTCAGTTCCTCATCTGCAAAATGGAGGTGACATGCAGAGTTTTGTGATGAGGATTAAATGAATTGATACATGTAAAGTCTCTGGAAGGATGTCTGCCACATATAAGGTACTCAATAAATGCCAACGAATATACATTTTCCAGTTTTGGAGAAAACGTTATTTATATCTGAATTCTGGACAACAGTTGATTTTTGTCTCCATATTTTTAGTCATTTAAAAATCACTGATGAGCCGGGCTTGGTGGCTCAGCCTGTAATCCTGCGCCTTTGGGAGGCTGAGGTGAGTGGATTGCCTAAGCCCGCGGGTTCAAGACCCGCCTGGGCAGCGAGACCTCATCTCTACAATAAATCAAAAAATCAGCTGTGCGTGGTAGCGCATGCCTGTAGTTCCGACTACTTGGAAGGCTGAGGTGGAAGGATCGCCGGAACCCAGCAGGTTGAGGCAGCGGTGGCCGGGAGCAGCCACTGCACTCCAGTCTGGGTGACAGAGTGAGACTCCAACTCAAAAAAAAAAAAAAAATCACTGATGCATCAGGTTTGTCATCAAAATAGGGTAAAATCCCAGCCAAAACAGTGTGAGTCTCTCTTTGTGAAAAGAATAATTGTGGTAATGAAAGAATAGACAGAATTTTGTTGTTATTATTGTTAATATTGTTTTATTTTATGTTTTGCTTTTATTTGTTTTGGCGCTAAAACTTGATGCAATGTTGTTTTCTAGGCTTAACAATACTCTTAATTGGCTTTCCTGGCTAAGCAGAACTAATGGCTGAATGAAAGGAGATTATGGCAATAATTTACTAAGGAACTATTTTAGTATATTATTTCTATTTAGCAAAAGAATCATCTAAAATAAGAATAATTTTCTCATTTAATAGATAAAAGTTTAGAGAAGCCAAATAAATAGTCCAAGGTAAAAATAATTTGCCAATAACAGAGAAATAATCTAATCACTCCTGTGTCTAATTTAAAGCATACGCTCTCTACTATACATATGCCTATGAGAAAAGCAGAAAAGGTGTTGAGGCAGAGCAGCTCACCTAGGAACAGCTAGTGATGACTGTTTAATTAAATAGCTTCAGATCCCTGCTAGTTAAAGCGTGCAGCATGGGAACCACCAGGTGAAAGAAGTGGGCTTTCAGTCTCTCCTTCCATCTATTGAATTACAATCTGCATTGAAAATGCCCATGTACTTCACAAGTACACTAAATTTTGAGAAACTATTCTAGAGCAATGATTCTTAAATATGACAACATGTAATTATCTGGGGGAAATTTTTTTTAAAAGCCATGACTGCTTCCATCCCCAGGGATTCTATTTTAATTGGTGGGGTGTAGTTTGGGTTGATAACTCCTGTTCTGGAGTCTAGAAGACTAACCTAGACTAGAGTTCCATCTAGTTGTCTGATTTATACTAAGACTTAATGGAGCTTTTGCAGATGAGATGAGATTTGGTTAAGACAGAGCAGTTTGAGGGGGGAGTTTTTAAAATTATGGTTTCCAAATTTCTATTCTCCTACTATTGAACAAATATCACAATCTTCACATTCCTACTAGATGAATGGTCATAACTGGCTCATTCAATAGGAAAATATCAGTCCACTTAATTAACATCAACCAAATATAGACCCCATCTTTGAAAATTTGTCTGTGTCCTTATTGACCATGAATGAGTTCTCTGTCAATTACTCACAAGATTAAGACTGATTTCCTAAGCCAAACCAGCAATGTGGTGCTTAGACTACTCAGTTGTAAATTTCGTTTTTTAATTATCTCTCTGCAGGACGGAACTAACTTGTATGGTGCACAGACATTCTTCCTGTGCCTTGAAGATGCTAGTGGATTGTCCTTTGGAGTGTTTTTGATGAACAGCAACGCTATGGGTAAAGGAATATTAAAAAAAAACCAAACAAGCACAAGAGCGATTTTCAATCCCTTTCTTACAGCTCTATGATAAGAAATGGATTCCTTTAGGAACAACTGAGCCATAGCTTAGGGAGGGCCTGACATGTTCTCTGACTGTTTCATCCTTACTTGATTACCTGCGGATCTATGGTAGCTATGAGGAGAGGATTTTCTCCTAGCTTATGATTTTCTGGAATTGGTGTCATGTGTTGGAATACTTTCTGTGTTAAATATAGGAAGGCTAACACTCGTCCCTATAAACTACTCCGAGACAGTTTCCATCCATTTGTTTTGCTTCTCCTTAAACTTTTACTCTGTAGATCCCAGTGGCAATGAGTTGCTGTAGGGAAAGAGGAGATGTGTCAGAATCTCCCAGGATTGATGGTGGAAGTGGGATCCTGATCCCTTCTGTATTCTCAATCAAAAATCACGGAATTAAATCAATGCTACTCAGAAGTGTGGTCCATGGATGCGTCACAAACTGTTTCAGGTTTGCAGTAAGATGAGTATAGAAATAGAGAATAAACATTGCTGCAGCATTCTTGTGTATGCATATTTGTTTTTCAGCAAACCATTTTCATGTTATTTTACAAAGTACAAGTTTGCCATGAATTGGAAATTTAGAAAAAATAAAGATTTATTTCTTTATCACAGATGTTTGGGAAGCCCTCTAGAGATGATCTAAGATGATTCTAGGATGCCTAATAGATGATTCTAAGATATCTAATTCTAAGATATCCCATAGAATCTTAGATGATTTTAAGGTACTTAAACATACCTAATAGCCTAAAAATAGACTGAGATATTGCAAGGACCATATAGTCTGAAGTGGGTAAAAAAGAACTGGAAAACAGGCAGAGTTAAACCTAATGGGAAAGGGCACATGATTCTAGATACTGTGTATGAGTTGTTCCGATGACCAAAAAGTACATTTCAGTATTTATTGAAGCCTTTAATCCTTGGATGCAAACCAAGATTGGAATGCAACTTTTGAGAATGGTGATTGGAGCTTAGAGGAATTTTGAATTCATGATATAATCTGTGATTTTTTTTTTTTTTTTTTTTAGTTTGGTTTTTGCATGATGTGAAACTCACTGAGGATACTACCTTAATATGTCTAATTGGATTATCTTTTCACAATAATGATGGGATATGGGATGGGAGCAGTATGTTCTGTGGCTGTGAAAGTCAGGGAGGAAAAATGTCTCCTCTAAACTCTTCAGTTTAATTTTCTTGGGGGCCTGTAAATTAAACTAACAAAAAGCAACTTAAGATAAAAGATAGACTATTTACTCGTACAATGTGCATACACAAGAGTGCCCAGTGATGAGTAACTCAAAAGAGTAGTTAGAAATTGAGGCATATATACCATTTTAATAAATGAAAAGGAAGAAAGAAAGCCATTTGTGGAAAATCAAATGACTGTTTCTGAAAGATGAATGGGCTCTTAGGAGAATAGATGGGAGATATGATAGTCTTGTGACAATGTCTATTTGGGAATGGTGCTTATCATCTCAGAGAAGATTAGAGGTGGTCCTGGGAGTGAGTTTATGACAATTGAGTTTTACTGAGTTCTTTTGGGGGATTCTGCTTCTATGTACATTGGGGGTTTCAGTAACTTAAATGCCTTTACCCCCAAATAATTTTTATGCCACAGTGGCTAATTCTGGACACTTTCATTGACCTGGCTGGTTTTTCCTCTGGGTCTCAGTACAAGAAGCTAAGACACTCCAGTCACTATTATCTAAAGTGTGTCACAGAAGAAATACTTTGGCTCCCACGTGCCGTGAGGACAGACTTTGACATCAGAGTTTGTCCTTTTGTATACAAAATGCAAGTCAATAGGATCACTTTATTAGTGGTCAGATGGTTAGTGATCCTCTGGTATAAAACTTGGCTGTTACTGCTCTAGGCTAATTTTTTATTTTTATTTGTTCCATTTTTAATCTTTCAAGAGGTTGCCCTTCAGCCTGCACCAGCCATCACTTACCGCACCATCGGGGGCATTCTGGACTTCTATGTGTTCTTGGGAAACACTCCAGAGCAAGTTGTTCAAGAATATCTAGAGGTAAACTGAAATAGCAAGTATTTAAGAAAAATAAACTTAATTTGCAAGTGCAACCCACAAAAATCTCTCCTTACAATTGAGACATTCAAGACCAACTTTCATTAAATGTAGTGAGAAGTTGCTTTATATCATGTTTATGTTATAAAAAGGTAACAGAATATAAAGATGCCTAAATGTGGTCCTACTGTCAATGATAAAGTTGAAAAAATCGACTAGTATTCTAGCATTACTGAATCAGTACATTGGAAAATGCAGTATGTTCTGTGCCGTAAAAAATACTTAGGAACACTTTTATTAAAAATAGAATATTTGCTAACTTTCACTTTACATATTTATTTCAGCTCATTGGGCGGCCAGTCCTACCCTCATACTGGGCACTTGGATTCCACCTCAGCCGTTATGAGTATGGAACCCTCAACAACATGAGAGAAGTCGTGGAGAGAAACCGTGCGGCACAGCTCCCTTATGTAAGAAAGGTTTTAAACAATTTTCCAGAAGTAAAGAAATTCTCTTGAGGAATAAAAGCGACTGTTTATACTTTCTCTTCCTGAGTTTTATTTATTTTTGGTAATGAAATAATTTCTATATGCAGATACCAGACTTTTTTGTTGGACCAGGTATTTCTTTCAAGGAATCCTTATTCTCTTTAGGAGGAAATAGTATTTGGAGACCACAGTATGGGATTAGGACGCAATCTGTTTTCGCGTCTATTTTTCTTTCTTTTTCTTTTAGATTAGAAAAGAAAGTTTATTTAGAAAGTAAATCAGAGAAAAAGATTGGAGAGGGGGCCAGATGCTTAAGGAACATTTGGTCTGTCTCTTTTTCTTATTGACTATATCTTACATAATGTGTTTCTATTTGAGTTCTCAAGGCTTTTCTCTCTCCAGCTTTAATTCTACTTTTTTAATGAATCTCGGTGTAGATCTTCTAGCCTTAAACATGTTCTTGGTTGGGTTGTTTTGATTCAGTAGTGGCATGGCAGGAACTTATCATAAAAGTGGTCTTATATTTTTTAGAAATTCCTCTAATAGTCTGATATAAACTTGCTTCTTAGGTTTATTGTCAGGTTACAGATGTTGCAAATCCCCAATCTCCTTAATCCTCTTCTACTAATATGCTTTACTAGATGTTTTTAAGGGGAATTTGAGGAGTGGAGTAATTCTAAACACAAAGGACTTAGGCCCCCAAATTATACTGCTGGACACAGGCTTGAGCCATTTAGGATAGCGTCCCTTTTTCACACTAATAAACTGAAACTGTGAGAGGAAATAACTTAACCAAGACCACATAGCTAATTAGTGACAGAACTAGTACTACGAAATTAATGAATTTTACAAATAATAGAACAACTTCAAGGTCATTTGTTTCTGCATTGGTACTTTGATTACTATTGAATTGGCAATAGAAAGAGTTTGCCTTTCTTATAATGTGATCATTTTGCAATTGAAGCAGAGCTTCAGCTGGTATTTTAGACTTTCGAAGAAATTCCATAAATATGAGGTGCAAAAGAAAGTACTTAACTAAGTTGACATTTTAAAAGTCTGGAAAAACTGAGGAGATGGGGGAAGCAGAAAGTCAGAAGGGACAAAGATGTTCAGGTGAATGAATTCAGTTTCTTTTGATGATAGATCCCACTTCTCATTCTTCAGCACAAATTGATTCATGCATGTGGGTTGGAGGAGGAATAACAAAAGTGATAGAGGCAGGACTGAGATAAGGGATAGTCACAAATCACCATAATAATGAGACCTCCTATGTGGTAAACTCTTGTGGCAGGCACTCTGCCAGACCTATTCATGAGTTATCACAGCAGTCTCATTTTCATATTAGAACTTCATTTAAGTTTAGACACTTCATTGACTATTAGGAAAGCAAAGTGTTTTCAAGCCCAGATCTCTAATCTCTCTCTTTGTTATGTTATTCTCATTACTCATAGATAGATATTTCCTTTTTAAGTAATCTAGGCAATGAAATAATTAGACCATTACTGTAACATAGTAGAGTAAGGTGTGAAAGGTAGCACGTAAACATGGAATTGAAAAGTTTTAGCTGAATTCATTCTAGGTATTGAAAATTGCTCAGCTATATAAGCAGAAGGAAATAGTATGCACATGTCATGAAATATGTTGTACTTTGAATGGCTAAACTTGACTGTGCCAAACAGATTAGGTGCTATCATTGGGGCACAAAGTTTCACAAGACATGAGAAGGAAAAACTAAGTAATTTTTGGAATAATCTTCTCTCCCCTACTCCATTCCCTTGGATGCAAACACCTAGTCTGAGAGCAAGAGCAAATTTCATTTTGGTCTCCACTGTTTTCATATAGATAACATTAGGAAAGCAAAAATATCAAAGAATTGAAGTAATTTTTTAAAAAATGTGTGGTGGTAAAGTGAGGGAGAAGTGAGGACAGTCTCTTTCTCCCTTTATCCTGTGGCTAGAGTAAAATTTAGGTAATTTCATGGATGGCTATGTCTTTGGTAATCTTAGCGATTTGTCATGATTGTTTGATTGGTTTCTAATGCCTGAGCACCAGAAAAGGCTAAGATGCAGCAGTTAATCTAGTTACAGAGATAGGACCAGGTCATAGGAAAACAATGGATTATTTGTTTTTGAAATCGTTGTTGGAAAGAAAGCACTCAGATGCCAGGAACTGATAAGAAACTATTTTAAAGCCAGCAGTGTTGGTTTTGTCTTGAACAACAACAATAAAAAGCTGATTGATTCATTTTAGCATAGACATTCCTAGGCACTAAATTGTGGACTTCGTGTATTTTTTCAGGATGTTCAGCACGCTGATATTGATTATATGGACGAGAGGAAGGACTTCACTTATGATCCTGTGGACTTTCAAGGCTTCCCTGAGTTTGCTAAGGAGTTACACAATAATGGACAGAAGCTTGTCATCATTGTGGTATGTGCTGCCCTCTCCCTCCCCCAAATCAAGTATTTGCTGTCCTTATCATTTCACCCACCTCCACCTCCTTTGTCCCCAAGCCCCCAGTCTCCTTTCAATGCCTCTAGCTTTACCATGGTAGTTTCTTCATTGTGTTTTTACCCTTTTCAGGATCCAGCCATCTCCAACAACTCTTCGTCAAGTAATCCCTATGGCCCATATGACAGGGGATCAGATATGAAGATATGGGTGAATGGTTCCGATGGAATGACTCCACTCATTGGACAGGTAACTTGATGGAGAAGCTGGTGGATGCTGGAGAGGTGTGTGTGTGTGTGTGTGTGTGTGTGTGTGTGTGTGTGTGTGTGTATGTGTGTGTGTGTATGTGATTAAGTAAGTAATTGTTTTTGTTGTACATTTGCAGATGCCTTATATAAGCTGGGCATAAACTTCTCCTTGCCCTTTCATGCCAAAATGCCTACAGGCATCCTAGGTCTGAGATTCCTTTCACAGCCAAGTCCCTTTAAACAACAGCTCACATAGGAAGTGCCTGCTTGTTTACCTCCCATTCCCTTCTCAGCTGACTGCAGCCTCCTTTCTTCCCCCATCACTCCCCTGACACTGCTGTGGCAATGGGCAACAGTTACCACATAATTGGCAAATCAAATGGAACTGTTGTATGCCTCTTCTTACTCAATTTATTTGCAGTATTTGACAATTTTGACTACTTCTTTCTCAAATCTTTATTTGTCCTTTTTTAAAGGAAATTGCAATCTGCTGGTTTACCTCTAATACCTCTGATGAGGTATAGAGTCTCATAGTTTCTCAGAGTGTAGTGTCTGAGAAAAATTGGGTAGGAAAGAGATAGAAAAAATTAAACCATGTTAGAAACCGCAGATTATAGTGAACTACTGAAATTACACAGTACTCTTCCCCATTTATTATTCCTAGAATTGGAAATAGAGGAAGTGACAGGGATGGGTGTTCCTGAGGGGAATATTAGCAAGTCAGACATTGCCTTTATCCATGGATTTATTTATTAAGAACTTGACTCGTCGTCACTGTGGCGTGTGCTGCCCTCTTCACCCCACCCCACAAATCAGGTATTTGCTCTTCCTCATAATTATACATTATACTCACCTCCCCCTCTTTTACCCCCAAACTCCCAGTCTCATTCCAGGGCCTCCAGCTTTACAAAGGTAGTTTCTTCGTTGTGTTTGTATCTTTTTTCAGGATCCAGCCATCTGGATTTATTTTTTTTCCAGCCACTTATTTTTTAAAAAATAAATTTTTCTTTAAGTGACTATTTGATTCCCTCAGATGTTTATTCGAAGTATTCTGAGCACTTTATCTTTCTAAATAAGATACATTCCTATGTACCTCTCTTGCCATGGCTATATTAGGAATTTCTTTGCAAAGTACTTTGTTTCTATATTCTTTTAATTTAGTGTTATCCACTGATAAGACTAATTTTTTTTTCTCCGGCAGGTCTGGCCTGGAAACACTGTGTTTCCTGATTATACCAATCCCAATTGTGCTATTTGGTGGGCAAAGGAATTTGAGCTTTTCTACAAGGAAGTCGAGTTTGATGGAGTCTGGATTGTGAGTTGTTTACACTTTGATTATTAGGGGACAAATGTTCAGATTTTATATATCTATATCTTTGAGTTATGGAGCACAGGGAAAAGAGGGTGAGAAGAAAGCAGTCATAATAATAATTCTCTGTACTCCTTATCTAACTGCTCACATAATCTTACCCAAACATATAGCTTAGAGTCAAAATCAAAAAGTTAGAGCTGCAAGGACATTCAGAAATTTTTTTCCCCTATGTCCAGCTCTCCTTCTACAAATAAATGAACTGAAGTCAAAATAGGATATATATTCCTGATATTGGCACAAATTACACAACTTGTTCTGTCGCCAGTTCAAGGCTCTTTCATTTTGACATACTAGACAAATTGATCAGAGCCAAAGAACCCAGGTACATGAAAATCCTATGACTGGAATAAGGAGAAATGTTTCATATGTCAAATGAAAACGAAGGAATTTGTTTAACAAAACTTAGAGAGCTCTAGAGTTGAACTTTTTCCTATCTATAGGAAAACTGTAGAAAATTAAAACAATACGGAGAGCTGAAAAGATAAAAGCAAAGCTCTTTAAAAACTATAGCAACTAAATACATCTATCATCAATATTTTAGTATACATCTTTTTAGATTTTCATTGTCGCAGCTATTGGCACATGTGCATGCTCTTTCTCTCTCCTAGTCTCTCTTCCTCTTTCTCTCTCTCTCTCCTTCTCTTGTTCCCCATATGTATATGTTTATATGTATTTGTATGTGTGTATATATTTTAAATTATATTTAGATATATTAAAATATATAAATTGATGTATATGGCATATAAATTGAAATATTTTTTATTTGATATATTTGGAAATTATACATTTTCAGTGATTTTAGAAATATATCGTTTTTTAAGGAATTTTATGAACTTTGTTCACAGTGCTTCCAGTGTTTAGACAAGACAGAAACAACAATTCCATTCTGTAATAATAAGTACTCCCTTTAAAAAGAAATATCTAGAATAATGTCTCTGATTCCTCAAATAACAGCATCCCTGCAATGTAATGGAATATGTTACTGTTTCTTAATAGTTTTTGCTGTTTGTCTTGTAGGATATGAATGAAGTCTCCAACTTTGTTAATGGTTCAATCTCAGGATGTTCCACAAACGACCTAAATTATCCTCCATTTACTCCCAGTGAGTCTTGGTGGTTAGTCTGATTAAAATGACATTGCATATATGATAATTTAAATTCATAATAATAAATCTGAACAACCTGGCAACATGTGCACAGGAAAAGGAAAATGTGGATAATATATTAAAAAAATAAAAATAGGAAAGTCTAAACACCCTATGCTTTCCTTAAAAAGGCATGCACTCAACAGGGGCAATCTAGTCCTTACACCTATAGTCCTAGCTATTTTTAGAAAAAGGTCCAGAGAGGATATTGTATGTAGAAGCCATTATATCACTCTGCATTGTGCACCTCCACAGGTCAGGACTGAACAGAGAAAGACCAGAAAACTGGGCTTGATCTTCAGATGAGGGTTAAGTCTGGTGATATCCACAATGTGAAGAATAGACATCAGCCATGGGATAAAAAGAGGCCAGAATTCATGACTGGGAGGGCAAAGTCAAAGTCAGTGAACGTGGTGATTCTGAGCTCTGGTTGAACTTTGGACTATACTATCTTAGCATGTGGCCTTGGAATTCCTGCATTGATTGTAATTTGAAGAAAGCAGAATGTTCAAGGAGAAATTATATTTTGACTGAGAAAGGAACAGAGCTACTAGGATTCTAAAATCTTATGAAGGCTTTGATCTGGTGGGAAAATAGGAAATTGGGGCAGATGGGTTAGGATCAAATGCTGAGGAGCTTAGATGGGAGGCTAAACAGTTCACAAGAGTTCACACTTCATTCTTTGGTAATAGAAGCAACTTATGTTTTAGTAAGAGGGAAGTATGATAGTCAAATAGTTTTGGACATATTGACCTAGCATTAAAAATAGTTTTGGACATATTGACCTAGCATTATAAAATTGATCAGAGGTAAATAAGGCATTAAGAAGTTATTACATAGTTACAAACTTCCTGGAATGGAGCTAGACAATTGGAAACAGAGGTGAAGAGAAACTAATGTTTTATGTCTAGGCTTTTATACATTTTAGATATTGTACCATGCTCATATATTAATGCATTATCCATACAAGATTAATTACAATTTAAAAATAAAACTATTGGTTGGGCTTGGTGGCTCAGCTTGTAATCCTAGCACTTTGAGAGGCCAAGGCAAGTGGATTGCATGAGCCCGTGGGTTCGAGACCAACCTGGGCAACATGGCGAGACCTGGACTCTAAAAAAAACAAAAATTAGCCAGATGTGGTAGTGTGCGCCTATAGCTTCAGCTACTTGGAAGGCTGAGGCGAAGGGATCGCCTCATCCCAGCAGGTCAACGCTGGGATGACCATGAGTGTGCCACTGCACCGCAGCCTGGGCAACAGAGTGAGACTCCAACTCAAAAAATAAAAATAAAAATAAAACTATTACAAATGGTTGATTATAAATATTAAAGAAAACTTGGAAAAATGCAAAGAAAAAATAAAAATAGGTAACAATTTTGGCATCTAGACAATCACTAATAACATTTTGACTTCTGATTTTTTGTTGTTGGTGTTTTTGTTTGTTTTTTGTTGGTGTTAATGCACAGATACAAACATGGAATGGGATAAGACTGTCTTACAATGTTTTGCCACTTTATAATATAGTAAGCAGATTACTGAATTACTAAATTATTTTCTAAATCATACTTTAAATTTACTGTATTTTAATTGATATTTTATCATATATTTAAGCAAATCATAAAGATATTAGAATTATTCCAAAAAAAATAAAGCAGAAGATATTATGGTAGTTGAGATCCAAAGATAATTTAGGTCTGAACAGATTGTTGCAATGGAAGCAGAGTGGTACAATGTGTGCAGAGAAGAATGGGTGAATGAAAGAGATATTAGAAGTCATTCTTTGTGATATATGGTCAAGAGAGAGAAGGAGTCAGAAATTAATTTATACTTTCATCCAGTATTTCTATTCTTGGATTCCTTAACTTAGCTCAGTTTGAAGAATTCAGATTGGACCTCAAGTCTAACCACACCTTCTTGCTTCTGGATACCTGCCTCTAGTCACATGAGAGCCTAGGTGGGAGGATGTGTGTGGGCAACACAATTTATTATGTATCAGAGAAAGTGCCACAAATGTATATAGTGTTCAGAAAGTAAGGAAGCACGATTTCTACAATAAGGGCTTACCCAGGGAAGCCATCATTTTGGACTGTCTAATAGTCAAGGAGCAGGAAATGTGTATCTTAGGCTCTGATGGAGCCCTCTTTTCTTTCAGGAGTCGTGGATGGGTACCTTTTCTGCAAGAGTCTCTGCATGGATGCAGTACAGCACTGGGGAAAACAATATGATGTTCACAATCTGTATGGCTACTCCATGGCGATTGCAACAACAGAGTAAGACTGCTATATTGATCTGTTAGATGCTGGGTTATTCATATATGTCATTTTTAAAACCTCAATGAGATATATGGTGTTGTCATTACTGATTGAATGAAGAAATTGCCTGGCATATAGGGAAGAAGCAATCCAATAAATGTGTGTAAAGCATGCAAAATGAAAGAATATGTGAATCAAAAAAATAGATAAAAAGATGAAAGAAAGAAGAGAAGTTAAGGTCAGGTGTGGTGGTTCACACCTGTAATTCCAGCAGTTTGAGAGGTCGAGGAGGGAGGACCGCTTGGGGCCAGAAGTCAAGACTAGCCTAGGCCACAGATTGAGTCCCTATGTCTATAAACTTTTTAAAAAATTAACTAGACATGGGGTTGCATGCCAATAGTCCCAAACTTCTTGGGAGGCTGGGTTGGAGGACCACTTGAACCAAGGAATTTGAGGCTGCAGTGAGTTATGGTCTCAGCATTGTACTCCATCTTGGGTGACAGAGCAAGACCCTGTCTATAAACAAAACAAAGTAAACAAAGAAATTAAAAACCAGAAAGAGAAGAAACTTGCTCAAGGCCAAACAGCTCATAAATTGCAAAAGCAAAATTTAAGCCTTTTGTTTTTCATGAGTCTGTGTCCATGTATTTTCCCTCTTGACGCATTGTATAGACTGAAATATAGTAACTTGTAGATGTCCATGTGCTTGGAGTTTTAGATATTGGTTCAACAGCCCTCTGGTCTGCTCTTTTTACCTTTGTATGTTAACTCAAATTCTGTAGTAAGAAAAAGGCATTGAGAATTTATTCTACTTACTGTAGTGGTGACAGCAGAAAATCAAACCAGAACCAAATTCATTGATTAGCAAAGTACTGCATGTAATTTTAGTGCTATTGAAAGTTGTTGAAAAATTTCATAGCAAAAACTTTATAGAAACTTCTAATTTAAAAATATAGATGATCTATACTAATATTCAATTACAAAAAATGTACACATACTTATAATTTTAAAATGTCTTTTCTTATTACAAAATTATTACCAATGTGTTTCTTCCTAAAAAGAATTTAAGTTCCAAAAGTCTGTTCAGAAGTTCATTTTTTATGTGTGAAAGGGTAAACTGAGACGAGGTAGGCTGATGCCATGGGAATAATGCAAAGTATTGCAAAGGAGAAGGAAGCAAAGTTTATTCTCCACTTTCTATGACATAAAGGGGCCGGCACTCAGTAGGTGAGTGTGGCATCAAAGGCTGAAAGGCTGGATATATTTAAGGCTCTTTGGGCTAGGGAAAAGTCTGGAGGTTGTATTCATTGATGTAGGTAACAGAAGTCACAAAGGTCTTGCTTCTAGGCATCCCAAGGTACCGGTATCTCATGACTCCAGGTGGTAGGTTGGAGGCTGGTTATGGAAGACTGGTAACAATACATCATTGCCAGAAACAGATTCCTAGGAGAACAATTAGGACTAGACATGTTTAAGGGACTAGAAATAATGACCAAATCCTAACCTTGGAGGTCCGGTTTTACTTCTTGCTAATGATTTAGAGGTAAAAGAATAGGCTAGTCAGCAGAAAGGCTCAGCAATACATGACAGGGCTGAGGCTGAGATAAAATGGCTGCACTACTGCTAGGATTATTTTACTAAGTTCTTCTATTCTAAGATTCTTGGGGTTCCTACCTTTCAGTGTGTATGTAGAAAGTCTCATAATATATTATAGAATACCAATACAGACATATCTATGTAAAATTAAATTTCACTTTTGTTTTATAAAAATTATATACTTCTAGTTGTTAATCTTTTTAAGGCTGCTTTAAAATTCTTGAAAATTATGGGGTTAATGTATAAAACCCCTTAAAATGAAACAAAACAAAACATATTTAAGATTTCTACCAACAGCAACTCTAACTCTACTGGGTGGAAACTAGAAGAACTAATAGGGTGTTCACTTTAAATTTCCTTGGTATTTTTGCTATATTCTCTGGGCTAAAACAAGATAAGATCCACACTGACTCCCTAAATCTGTCTCTCTTTCTAGAGCTGTCAAGACTGTGTTTCCTAACAAGAGAAGCTTCATTGTAACTCGCTCTACCTTTGCGGGGTCTGGCAAGTTTGCAGCTCATTGGTTAGGTGACAACGCAGCCACCTGGAATGATCTTCGATGGTCCATTCCTGGTGTGCTTGAGTTCAATCTTTTTGGTATCCCAATGGTGAGTCTCCATCCCAAGCTGTGTTATGAACCTCAATCTCCAGGAAACTTCATGCTAGAATGTTTTCAAGCTATAAGGCTTGTCTCCTGCCTACCATGGCCCCCAAATTTAATGTTTTGAGAGCGTATCCTTCATCCACTTCAGCATGGCTGATATCATGATATTATTTCCTGTACTGTCTTGTGAAGATAGAAAGTGCAACCCTGATATTCACTGAATATTTCTTTCTTAAAGCTAACATGCATACAGAAAAGCATACATATCTCTAAGAATGCAGCTGATGAATTTCACAAACTGAACACATCTATGTATCTAGGACCCAGATGAAGGGCTATAACACTGCCAGCATCGAAAAGGCCTTGGTATTTCTTCAATTGAATGTACCTAATATTTGAGCTCCTACAATGTTCAAGGTCCTTAGCTGAGTGTGTATGGTAAGATTGAAAAAAACATAAATATAGTAACAAGACACCTTCTTTTTCCCCAAAGAGTTTGCAGTTTAGTAGGAAGATATATATATAAAATACGCACACACAAGTAATTATGACAAATTAAGGTAAAAAGACAATAGGGACATAGGAATTAAATATTATAGGGGATCCTGAGAAAGAGAGTCATCTAACAAGATTATGAGGGAAAAAAGGAGTCAGGACAGAGATTCAAGAGAAGTTTCATGGAAAATATAGCACTTGTGTTTAATCTTGAAAAGTGGGCATATCTTATCAGACTAATGAGGGAAGAAACTCATTTTAGGATTGAGAAATAAAGGTAAGCAAAATCAGCTCGAGCAGGAGTATTTGATGTGTCTATAAGAATGAATGTATAGTACTAGAATGGGAAATAGTGAAAGAAAGACAGGTTGGAGTCAGGTTTTGAAGAGCTAAAATGATGGGCAGCAAGGAGGTTGTGGAGATTTTTGAATAGATGAGTGATGATCAGAGTTAGGTTTTAGACAAATAATTCTGGTAGTGGTGTGGTCAAGATAATAAGATCAGCAGTATTACTAGTTACTATTCAGTAAAAAGCTATTGTAAGGTGTATTAATTACATTATTTCACTTTTAAATAAAACCCTGTATAGCTAATTAGTACCCACTAACAAAATGAAGAAATTGAGGCACAGAAAGGTTAATTAGTATCTTACTCAAAGCCATCCAGCAGTAAAAGAGTAAACACAGGATATAATCCAGTTCTGACCACGTTATTAACCTTCCCAGTAATAGGTTTTAGCAAAGTAGAAAAAAGTAGAAAGCAAAGGAGGGTGGTGGAAGTGAGGTTTGCTTGTTGTGTGTCCTTCCAGGTGGGTCCTGACATATGTGGCTTTGCATTGGATGCCCCTGAGGAGCTCTGTAGACGGTGGATGCAGCTAGGTGCATTTTATCCATTTTCCAGGAATCACAATGGCCAAGGCTACAAGGTAAGGTTCCCAGGAAATAAAGTCAACATAAATTTGGCATATCTTAGGACTGGATCTGTCCGTATCCTTGCCAAGAAATCTGCTGAGCCTACCTATTACTGGTACTTGACTTATGCTAATTTGCACCACTGTGTGCAATTGACCAGGACCTGTGCTGTATCACTGACATGCCCTACTGCCACAGCCTGTTCTTTACTGCTGTAGTCAAGAAAATGATGAGTCTGTGAAGGTCATTTATCAAACTTCTGTACATTTAATGTACATTGCTTGTTTTTTTTTTTTTTTTTGAGTCAGTTACCCAAGCCGGAATGTAGTGGCATGATCACAGCTCACCACAGCCTTGACCTCCTGGGCTCAGGCAGTCCTTTCACCTCAGCCTCCTGAGTGGCTGGGACTCCAAGTGCGCACCACTCCGCCTGGCTAATGTTTTAATTTTTTGTAGAGATGAGGTCTCACTATGTTGTCCAGCCTGATCTTGAACTCCTGGGCTCAAGCAGTCCTCCTGCCACAGCCTCCCAAAGTACTGGGATTACCGGTGTGAGTCATCACACTTAGCTACGTTGTTCAATTAAATGTGAGAAGCAAGTGAGAAAGTACTTCAAAATTATTTATAAGGCAGTCTTCCAAGAGAGCAATCCAAAGAGTGAAGGAAGCAGAATGAGTTGAAAAGCCAAGAATGACCACTTACTTGGTGAAATGATCCTTTTTTGTCCAGCTATACTACTCATAGGTGAAGTTTTGTAACTTAGGCTCCAGATTATTCAGAAAGAAAATTCTGGGTTGTGATGAATAAGGCCTGAAATTCTGCAGGTGCTTCTGCTATGCCACAGCCAAATTACAACTGCAAACTCTGTTTCTTCACAGGACCAGGATCCAGCCTCCTTTGGAGCTGACTCCATACTGCTGAATTCCTCCAGGCACTACCTTAACATCCGCTATACCCTATTGCCTTATCTATACACCCTCTTCTTCCGTGCTCACAGTCGGGGGGACACAGTGGCCAGGCCCCTCCTGCATGAGTAAGTTCACCTAACCCTCTAAACTTTATTAATGCATCTTGGATGACATTGACTATGTCATCAAATATCAGAGTGAAAATTGAAACAATTCAAGCATATATATATATATATATTTTTTTTTTTTTTTTTTTTTTTTTTGGTAAGTCTAGCCTGTTTCCTTTTGGGGAGAAACCTAGACACAAAGTCGTGGGACTTAGAATCTTTTCTTCATCCTGCCACCAACTAATTTTTTTTTTTTTTTTGAGTTGGAGTCTCACTTTGTTACCCAGACTGGAGTGCAGTGGCCGCTCTCGGCCACCGCAGCCTCAGCCTGCTGGGCTCCGGCCATCCTTCTGCCTCAACCTTCCAAGTAGCTGGAACTACAGGCGTGCGCTACCATGCCCGGCTAATTTTTTGATTTATTGTAGAGATGAGGTCTCGCCAAGTTGCCCAGATGGGTCGCAAACCCACGGACTGAGGCAATCACTCACCTCAGCCTCCCAAAGCATTGGGATTACAGGCTGAGCCACCGAGCCTGGCCCATTTACATTGTTTTATCCTTAGTTTTTTTAGTCTTAACATAAAGGATTTGGTAGTTTGTGATGATGTCTTCTGTAATGCACTGCAATGCCAGGGCTATGTTCAAGCTCTAAAAATGAACCTGTAATTTGCATACAAATGAGAATATTATAAAGAGTTTCTAGAATTCCAGAATTCTTATTTGCCAGCCAATGCGCATCGCCAATTTAACTCTAAAACAGGGCACTTAAGAGCTTTTCTTGTCAAAATACAGTTAAACCCCCTATGTGTGTGACATACGATACCTTCAGGCACGTATCTGTGCTATTATATATTTATTTTTTGCAAATTTTCTGCCTGATCATGGAATTTCTTGTTAAAAGGCAGATATCCTAAAAGAGAAAAGAGCAACATTTTACATTATCTGGTACTACCAGTTCTTTCTTGATAGTCAGTTGAAGTTCTGGAATGTATTATCTTACACGCAATTTTTCAAAGTGGGGTACGGCATGTAGAAATACAGCCTGGATCTGCCTAGCATGCAAGGTCCAACAATTAGGTTCATGAACCATTCTAGAAAAGGTGCTACATGTCTCATTGCTGAATATCACTTCGGTCACATTTGAAGTACTCCCCTTGGGAAACTGTGCACCAATGCCAGCACCTACTCCTCCCATCAAAGCAATTTTGGAACTATTTTCTGGAATGAACATCAGAGCTGTTGTTATTTGTTGAGGTCTAATAATTAAGTTCTTGAACTTGCCACTGTGTGCTTACATTGGCAGCATTGTACAAATAATTGTATTGGAACGCCCTCCCTAGTCATCTGATCTGGCCCCCAATGATGTTTTTCCTAAAGATAAAGGAAATATTGAAAGGATCTCACTCAGTCACCCAGGCTGAAATTAAGGAAGGAAGACATTTGATGACATTTAGGACATTAAGGGTAATATGATGGTGGCTCTGATGAAAAGGAGTTCCAAAATTGCTCTGACAGGTGGGCCAGGTGCTGGCATCGATGCATAGCCTCCCAAGGGGAGTACTTCGAAGGTGACTGTAGTGATATTCAGGAATGAGGTGTGTAGCCCTTTTTCTTGGATGCGTTTGTGAACTTAATTGCCTTACCTCATAGATGCTGGAATAGGCACTTCTGTTCATCCTGAGGAAATAATAGGAGAGTAAATGGGCTGGGGAAAGGGGGCATGTGGTAAGGTGGGAGTACAATGAATGTCAGAGAATAATTTGGGGATTTTGTCCAGGCAGGCAGCTGCGTGCTTCCAACTGGTTGTGGGTAAAACTTCTAGGAAGCACTGACCCAAATCTCAGTGAACCGTCTCTCTGGTCTCCAGGTTCTTTGAGGACAACAGCACTTGGGACGTGCACCGACAGTTTTTATGGGGACCAGGTCTCCTCATCACTCCAGTTCTAGATGAGGCAAGTGTTCCCACAGAGACATGCTGGGTGGTCTCTGCTTCTGTTCCTGCTGCCTTCCAATTCCCCTCTCTCTCCTTTTTTTCCAAACCCTTTTCTGACATCTGTGACTAAGTCAGTTTTGAAGAGAGTCTGCTGGGTTTTGAGAAGTTGAATATCTGATACACAATTTCCTTTCTATAAGTACTTTTTCTTAATCAAGTTCCTAACCAGTGTAGATTTATGGATGGTCTTTTTTGTTGTCAGATTCTCATAGCAGACCATGACTTGTTCCATTACATAAGGGTCACTTTAACATCAGGTTGATCAGGGGGTAACTTGTTTCTGCCATTTTGTGCCTGTGTGTTCTGGGGCAAGTGGGATAATAATAATACCTACCACTTCAGGCTATTGAGAAGATGAGATGAGGTAATTATGTAAAGTTGAGATTTTTGCCACAGTACATATTTCATTATTATTATTATTATTATCCCTAATGTGATCTCACTTAGAGTTTTTCTCTGGTCTGCCAAGTTACGTTTCCTATTATATAAACTAGAGGAAAGGTAGAAAAAAGGCATTATATGATATTAGAGAAAGGAAAGGCCATTTCCGCCTCTTTTTGTATGGTTAAGATGTTCCCTAGGGATTGCTAAGAAATTAATTTTATCCATCTCAGGGGACAACATTTTGTTTTAATTTCAGGGTGCAGAAAAAGTGATGGCATATGTGCCAGATGCAGTCTGGTATGACTATGAGACTGTGAGTATCTTACTTTTCTTAAACTCATGCTGCAGCTGGATAGACAAGGACCTCCCTACAGAGAGAACTCTCCATCCATGCACGGAAGAGTATTTCTGTAGTATTTTTGTAATTGTATAGCAGAGCCCGGATAAAGTAATCTTAAGTTCCTTAGCATCAGTCATGATGAAATCTGAAAAATATGTTTTCATATTCTTTATTCAGCAATAAGGTAAAGACTCAAATAGTATCTCGTGAGCATATATTGGAAGGACTTAGAGTATGAGCACAGTCAGGAATCAGGTTACTTGCTTACAACTATAAATTCTTATATTATATATCAAATAGCTCAGCATGGTATAAATATTTTTGTCTTTCTCTTGTTTGATTGCCTAGCTACACATTTATTCAGCTACGAGGAAAAGGGAGAGAGTGGTAGGTCACAAAGCGTGTGGATGGTCAGTAGAGCTTAGTGTACTCTCATGCCAATGTGTGTGATTTATGTGCATGCATCAGGGAGCCCAAGTGAGATGGAGGAAGCAAAGAGTTGAGATGGAACTTCCTGGAGACAAAATTGGACTTCACCTTCGAGGAGGCTACATCTTCCCCACCCAGCAGCCAAATACAACTACTCTGGCCAGGTACAGCATAGTTTGAGTGTCCTTTTGGGGGAAGCTGACAGAACTGGCCCTTTTTATCATCATCTGTTGATGATGCAGAGAATGCCGAAGCACTGTGGAGTCTGTGGAGGAAGTATGGGGGGGGTGTCCTGGATGGGGGGTGCCATCAAAATCTGTTCTTGGATTTCCCTCAGCCTCGTCTCAAGAAGCTATTGATTTAGCTGTTGCATCCAGATGGATTTTGAGACACCTTAATCCCTGTCCTTCCTTAAACCTTCTCAAAACACAGACAGCTAGCGTGTGCTAGCTGTGTGCTTCATGATTTTTTGTTTTTCAAATGTGATGATCTTAAGGATTTAATGTGAATCTTGCTCCTCCAGAAATGATTTGTTTTATCTTTTGGTTGCAAGCTGGAGACCATTGCCAGTTTGGTATCACATTAGCTTCCTTCTAGATTCCTGGCTTCACACGAGAATCAGAGGTTCAGTTTCTCTTCCTTAGATTATTAGGACTATCAGCCCAATTTTAGCCTTACTCCAGATATTTGACCCTCAAAAATTACAGGTTTTGCTTACTGAGTGCTCTTTTGATTTTCGTTCACTGTTTTGTTTACCTGTTGTTATTTTCTTCTTTTGGATATACCCCTTATTTATTTATTTATTTTTGCGAACTCTACGATATTTTAATAGGATTATGTGCTACAATTTAGCTAGGATTAGGTTGTATTTCAGTTGGTGGGTCCTCCAAAATAATATTTAGCCCACCATACTTCTGGACATGCCACTATGGATTCCTAGAATATTTTAACTTTTGTATCACTTTTCTTTTTTTTTTTAATTATTTGGTGAAGATGTCTGATTTTTCCTATATTTCCTATAACATTCAGGACAGAAGTTTTGATTATTAATTTTTGTATCTCCTTGACTTCCTAGTAATGACAGCTACTCAATACATTTTTAATGAGAGCAGATGATTTTGTTTATAATGGAACCTGTCTTCTTTCATAAGGAAAGGCGGAACGTAGGACAACTGTAAGGAAAGGTTGAATACAGTAGGGAATGTGAGGCCAGCGAGAAACAAAGCAGGGACAAGAAATTTGGAGATAGTCTAGAGGAGTGACAAAATGAGGAGAGCTTCCAAATGGAAGGGCTCTTTTTTTCCCCTCTTTCTCTATATCCATTTATCAATCTCTTTGAATAGTGTTTTGTGTTTTCTATTATAAATTATAAAGCAAATAATTTGAATGTTTTTCTCCCCGCCAAAAGCTAATAATAATTCGATAAGTTACCATTATACAGATGGATCTTATTGTATTTTATTGCTTTTTGAGTAAAAATGTTCTTAGATAGGGAAAAGTGTATCTTCCTCACAGCAGTTGATACTTCTCCTGAGGGTATGATATAGCTGAACCAATTATTTTCTAGGATTTTTCTCTTCTAATAGTCTGTGTTCTAGATCGTAGTTGCAGCAGCTGCTTTTATTTTAGCTATTGCAGTGATCCTGTTCTTAAATTCTTATCTCCTACGTATTTATTGCTAATGATTGCAGTATTTTTATCTTCTGTGATGTTACTGATACTAGAAAAAGATGCTACTGATGATTTTGCCTTTGTATTTAAAGAATCATTGGCTGCTACTAACTTATCCCATTTGACACTTGACAGAAACATTCCCAGCTCATTTGGCAAAATTCTGTGTTAAGACTGTGTCTCTTACATATATCTTGTTTTGTTTTTCACAGCCGAAAGAACCCTCTTGGTCTTATCATTGCCCTAGATGAGAACAAAGAAGCAAAGGGAGAACTTTTCTGGGATGATGGAGAAACAAAAGGTGAGCACTGTTATGTTAACGTTTTCTTTCCAAATCTGCATCTTTTTGCCTAATGGTTGTTTGCTTCTGCTGGCTGTGTACTTCTGGGAGAAGTCTCACCAGGCACAGCAGAAAAAGTCATTTAAGAATGTAGCACCATTCATGGGTAGTGGTAGATGAATCACAGGGGAAAAATACATTCCTATCTTTTAGAATTCTCCCATTGGCCATTGATATCTCTAGTAGATGCTTGTATTTTATTGTGAATGGACACTTGCAAGAGATATTTTCAAGACTGCTCGTGTAATTCAGTGTAGATCTCTTCCTTCCAAAATACTTTGAACAAATGTCGAAGATATGAAAAATATACCCATGTCATTGGAACAATGAGAATATACTTTTCTTGCGTGCATTCATCTAGCCATACCTTTAAGCACATTTTTGTGACTTAAATATATTAATGATTCCTGTGGCTCCTGCTTAAGAAAATGGATTCCCTTGAAACGTGTGCCCTGGAAGCACTTGGAAGGGAATCTTCTCAAGGTTACAGTAGGAAGGAGAAGGTAAAACAGTGAAACAGTGACTTGGCTGTGGAGAAGCTGTCTATAACCTAAGATGTAGATTTTGTAAACAAAACAAAGCAAACAGTAAACAAAATACTTCTTATTTTATACATTTAATTGACAAATGTTGAGTATATTAAAGTTGTACAGTGTGATGATTTGATACATGTAGACAATGTGCAATGATTATCACAATCAGATTAATGAATATACCCATGCCCACCCATACTGTTCACTAGATCCCCAGAAATTATTTATCTTAGAACAAAAAGATTTTACCTATTGACCATCATCTCCCCATTCCCCCCATCCCCCCATCCCCCAGGCCCTGAGAAACATTGTATTCTCTGCTTTTATGAGTTTAACTTTGTAAAAGATAATCTCTCATGTAAGTGAGATCATGCAGTATTTGGCTTTCTGTGCTTACTTAGTATAATATCCTTCAGCTTCCTCCATGTTGTTGCAAATGACAGAATTTCCTCCTTATGGCTAAATAGCATTCTGTTTTATAAATATACAACAATTTATCTGTTTATTCATTGATGGACACAAAAGTTGTTTTCATATTTTGGCTATTGTGAAAAATGAATTAACCACTTAAATGTAAGGGCCGAAAATAAAACTTCTAGGAGAAAACAGGAAAAAAGCTCCTTGACATTGATCTTGGCAATGATTTTTTTTTTTTTGGACATAATATGAAAAACACAGGACAAAGAAAGCAAAAAGAAACAAATAGAACTACATCAACTAAAAAGCTTCTGCACAGCAAAAGAACAATCAACAAAGTGGAAAGAAAACCTATAGAATGGGGAAAAAATATTTGCAAGTCATGTAGCTGATAAAGGAATATAAAAAGAAACATATAACCCAACAGCAAAGACAAATGACCTGATTTTAAAAATGGGCAAAGGACCTGAATAGACATTTTTCCAAAGACATAACGTGGTCAAAAGGTATATAAAAAGATGCTCAATATCATGAATCAGCAGATAGGTAGAAACTAAAAATTACAGAGAGATATAACCTTCCACCTGTTAGGAGGGTTACTATAAAGGAGACAAGAGATAATAAGAATTGGTCAAGATATGGAGAAAATGAAATCCTTGTTCACTGTTGTTGGGAATGTAAATTGGTGCAGCCACTATAGAAAACAGCATGGAGGTTCTGTTATGACCGTGTAAGCAAGAAGAAGCTACACCAGCAAGCTGAGTTTAATTTATTATGAATTTATTAACATGCAGGTCAAGAGTAGGCAGTGAAAACTCTTGACAAATTGCTGCAGTTTGTGACAAGCTTTTATAGGTAAAATTTGCAGCATTGGCTATATAGCAACTTAGTGACTATAGCAACTATTAACTAACAACTTGGCAACCAAAATGGGAACTTTGATTGTTAGGGAGCTTTGATTAATTTCATGTCCTAGGTATAGCCAGTGCCCAGAAAGTCCCTGGAGTTCTGCCATTAAGATATAATTTAAGATAGTTACATAGAGACAAAGAAGAAGAATCATTATACAATGGAGTTACCTTGGTTAGGTTACTAACAGAATATAAGAACAAACTATGAAAATGTCAAAGCATAACATTTGATTTCAGTTAACAAAGCATACAGTCACATGGAACTTTTGGTGAAGGAGTTCTGTAATGGTCAACAGGCAACAGTCAGCATAATCTGCCCAAAGGAGACAAAGCTGGGGTTTGTGGTCATGGGAATGTTACTGTAATCACAGGTAGGCACTAAGGAGTGAATTTTAGGTCAGGCAGGCAACTAAGATGGAAGCTTTAAACAAAATGGAGTAAGCTGGTTGATATTATTTATTTTGCTAGCAATTTGATTTCATTAACTGATTTAGATTATTTCACTTCATTGAAAAATTAAAAATAGAACTACCATACAACCTATTAAATTCACTTTGGAGTATATATTCAAAGGAAGTAAAATTGGTATCTTGAAGAGATAAACTTACTACTATGTTCATTACAGCAACAACAGCCAAGGCATAAAAACAACCTAAGTGTCTACTGACATATAAATTAATAAAGAAATTTTGGTACATATATACAATGAAATATTATTCAGTCCTTAGAAATAGAGATCCTGCTATCTGTGACATCAAAATGTAACTTTAAGGAGGGGCAGGATGAAACCTGTTCTTCTGTGGTGGATAGGCTAGACTCTGACTTGCCTTTTTCTCACTTTCAGATACTGTGGCCAATAACGTTTATCTTTTATGTGAGTTTTCCGTCACCCAAGTGAGTAGTGTATTTTTACACACCTTAGGCATGGGCTTTTGTCTGATCATTACCACATAATTGCTTGTGTATATATTTGTGGTTATGTTTGCATTAGTGACTATAGATGAGCACATTTCCATGACTTAACTCCCCATCTATATCATCAAAAGAAGGCAATAATAAATAATACAGACAAATTAAAGCAGCTAATGTTTCTAAATACAGTTTTAAAAAATGTCTGTGTGGACCAGGCTTGGTGACTCAGCCTGTTATCCCAGCATTTTGGGAAGCGAGTGGATTGCCTGAGCCCGTGGGTTTGAGACCCGCCCGGGCAACTTGGCAAGACATCTCTACAATAAGTCAAAAATTATCTGGGCATGGTAGTGCACCTGTAGTTCTGGCTACTTGGAAGGCTGAGGCAGAAGGATCGCTGGAACCCAGCAGGACAAGGCTGTGGTGACTGGGAGCGTGCCATCACACCTCAGTCTGGGTGACAGAGTGAGACTCCACCCCCCCCAAATCTGTGTGTTTCTGATTTTTTTTTTAAGCTCAGAGGCTTATTAAAACAATTTGTACTCTTTTAGCACTCAGTAGTAGAGAAAGCTAGGAGGCATTCAGGACAGAGGGAAGTATCTAGTCTAGGACTGAATATTTGAATTACTTGGGACTGTATGAATTAGACATACCTTTGTGCTTCATTGTGCTTACTTGATTTTGCAGAACCGTTTGGATGTGATAGTTTCACAAGCAACCTACAAGGACCCTAATAATTTGGCATTTACGGAGATTAAAATCCTAGGGGTGCAGAAACCTGGCACTGTTACAGTGACACACAACAATGTCCCAAGTCAAACTTCTCCTACAGTCACTTATGATTCTAACTTGAAGGTAAAACTACATTTTGTTGAGCTTATTTATCAAGAATTTTTCCTAGCATCATGTTGTTCCTTCTTGCCATGGTTGCATGGGTTTCTGAAAGACCATCATACACTCTGAGGGTCAAGATGGGGCAGTCAGAAGGCTGGGAAAGAAAAAAAGTGAGATGGTCAGAGCCAGAGTTGGGGAGCTGCTGAGGAAGGGGAATAAGGTAAAATGGGTTTTTTTCAGCCTATTCCTTTCTCTGCTTCTCAGTATTCTGCTTTCTGATTGGTTTCATTTGATAATAAAGTTATAATGGGACACAAGAAAAGCAAAGTTAAGAAAGTGGGAAACAGAATTTGAAGTAAAAGGATCTGACAGCTGCTCGGTCATGCTGACAATGTAAAGGTGGGAGGTAGGAGTCCCATTAACTAGAAATTTGAAGTGGTTGGTTTTTTTTTTTCTGTATTGAGATATGTAGACTATCATTCTGACACATACATTTAAAAGAAATATTTTAAGTAAAAAAGTTTGATAATTCTAGTTAATGGTTACTTATTTGGCTAGGTGATTAAAAACAAAATAATTTTTCACCAGTTATGATGAAGTGAACAGCTTGTAATAAATTCCTCTGATACCTTAGATTATACAGTATCCTTGCCTCAAATAATCCAGCTCCTAATGCCAAAATGAGTACTCCCATTTCATTTTCTACTATAATGTCATATCGGTAACATTTGACATTTTGTCCTGAATGCCTACATCGCAGAGTTAGAAATAAAAAAGTATATGGGTGGTTATGTGTATGGCAAAGTGCAAACCATTTGAAGGATGCCAATGTGAAAACAAGCCCAGTCAGTATTTGTTAAATAAATTACTTAGTGTAAGACCAAGGGAACTCTTGAATTATTTGATTTTTGGGTGGTGAGTAGATATAATTTATACACATGAAACTATTGGGAAGGAGTTAGGGAAACTATACCAATGTAAGTTACACCTATGTAGTGTTCAAAGCCTAATTGAGCAGCGCTTCTTGGAGAAGACAGGGCTAGGGTTGGGCCTTGAAAGATGGTGTATCAGGTAGGGGGGATTCATCACAGGCAAATGACAGGAATCCCCAAATGGTAGGTTAAACACATTTGGAATTTTCACTTTTTGCAATAAAACTTTAGAGCAGTCCCTTTTTGGCATCAGGGACTGGTTTAGTGGAAGACAATTTTTTTCATGTGGGGACATCATCAGGCAGTAGACTTTCATAAGGAGTCCACAACCTAGGGCACAACCTAGATCCCTCACACGTGCAGTTCACAATGGGGTTTGTGCTCCTGTGAATCTAATGCACTGCTTATCTGACAGAAGGTAGAGCTCCGGTTGCCTTCTGCTCACCTTCTGCTGTACTGCCAGTTCCTAAGAGGCCAAAGACCAGTGTTTTCCATGGTCTGGGGGTTGGGGACTCCTGGTTTAGAAGGTGGAGAGTTGCTGGCATTGGATCAGTGACTCAAGAGTGTCAGAGTTAGGGTATTTTCTTCTCTTGTGATTAGAAGTAGCTGCTTAGTTCTGGTTACAGTGCCCCTGTTCTAGCAGAGGAAAAAAGAAAATGAGAAAAAATAATAATAAAAAATAATAAAGGACAGAGGAAGCAAGAAGGACGAGGTAAAGGTGAAAGGACAGGCAGATCCAGGAACACTTGGCTAGCAAGCAACTCTTAGTCAACCTGACCACAGCTGACAAAAAATTTAGCTCTTAGTTGGGAACTTTGATATTCTACACTGAAATAATGAGTAAGAAGGAAACATTTTATATAGGGCAGGCAAATAGCAGTATATTCCACAAATGAGGACCATTTTCCTAGAAAGGGCATTTACCTAAGTTAAGTATTCCAGGCCTTCTTTATATCAGAATAAGCCTGCCCAAGCACTGAGAATAGCCTTATATTATTAGTTTATGAATTCTCCATAACCACCATAGATAAGATTCACTTTTGGAAGGTCAGTTTGGACAGGAAACTTTGGATCAAATTTTAAAGGATCTTAGTTGCCAAAATGAGAATGTAACACTTGATTTAATTTCAAAGGGTCTCTTATTGGTCCTTGAATCAAGGCTGTGCTATTGTGTGAGCACTGTCTGGGGTGTGGGGGCTGAGGACCAGTAGAACAGGGTAGTACACGATGAATTAGATTGCGAGGAGACCAGGAGAGGGGTAAGCCCTTAGAATGTGATTTTATTACTCCGGACAAACAAGAGCTTTAACAATGAGAAATGCTTTTACAAGAAAAATCAAATATAAGAAAATTGTATAGAAAAATATTAAATACTTGAATCAGTAGTGGGATTCAAAGAAGTTTTCAAGATTGAAGCCTAGGGCTTAGAGAAATAAAGAAGCTAGATTGTTAGGAATGGAAAGAAATGTCATAATTTTACCAGCTCACCGGTTTTGCAGTTGTCAAAATTGAGACTTAAAGAACTGAAATAATTTGACTAAGATTCTACAGAAAAATAGGCATGAGAAGCCAGGTCATATGATTCTTATAACTCTGTTTTTTTCCGTCACTCCAGACCAATGGCAGGTGCTAGTTTGGGGAGTGCAGAGCAAGAAGATCAGCTCAATTTGGGATGACAATGTGTGTCTGTGTATGTTATGCTTCAAAGGAAAGTGCAGAAGAGAGCCTTTCTGGAAAAAAAAAAAAGGAAGAAAAGGAGTCAGGGAAGGAAAGAAAAGGGGATGATTACAAAAGGTTTTATTTGATCTAATCCTTTTCACTATGCTATGTACAAGATTCTGATAGAGTTGTGACATCTGCCCTGTTACCACTGAATAATCCTCTCACCCCACCCCAAGTACAGCTCTCTTCATATAAGCTGTAGTCATATGTGAGTTGGGTGATTAAGAGTATTGTTTCTTTTCTTTTTTTCTAAGAAAAGCTTCAGCTCTTGCAAGGCCTTTGTCCTGAGAATGCATTTCCTTGTGATTTCCCCATTCCTATAGGTTGCTGTTATCACAGACATTACTCTTGTCTTGGGAGAACCATACACAGTGGACTGGGGCCTAAAAATAAAGGATGAAGAAAAAATAGACTGCTATCCTGATGAGAATGGTGCTTCCTCAGAAAATTGCACTGCCCGTGGCTGTGTCTGGGAGGTAACAATGTTAATGGTGCTAATGTACATTAAAATCTCCACATTTAATCTGATTTCATAAGCACAGTACCAGTACCTATGTAACTACTTAGAATTCATAGAAAGGTCTTCCAAAGAAACTTGATCTGGATGTGGAGAATAGGTGGGGACATATGTGGGACTGTTTAAATAAATATTTTTCATAGAGAGCGGGAATTTAAATTTGTTACTACCAAATAATATATAAGTGAATGAGTGATGGACTGGCTTTATTTCCCTATAAAATGAATTTTCTAAACCCTTCCATTTGATAACTCTTGGACTACATTCTGATCTATAATCGTGGCCTTACTTTTCAGGAATCTAGTTCTCCTGGAGTTCCTTTTTGCTATTTCGTCAATGATCTGTATTCTGTCAGTGATGTTCAGTATAATGCACATGGAGCCACAGCTGACATCACCTTAAAGTCTTCTCTTTATGCCAGTGCCTTGCCCTCCACACCTGTGAATACCCTCCGCCTGCAAGTGACCTTTCATACAAATGAAATGCTGCAATTTAAGGTAAACACATCATATGTATCAGGTGCTGACTGGACCTTTTTCAGTTCTATTATTTTTGCTGGACAAGGTTGCAGAACCCTAGAATAAGTTTACTCTTCTAAGTTAATCGTGCTACAGTAGACTAGATAATTCTTTGATGGAACAATGAGACCTACCCTAATTTTTGTTTTGAAAATATTGTGACTAGGATTAGGAGATCAAGAGTTAGGAGGCTACAAGTTAGACAGGCCAGGTGAGAAAATGAGCTGGGGTTAAATACTGAAAAGAAGGTGGAGAATAGTAGAAATGTTTGAGATTGAGAAGATAAGATTATAGGATCTGGTGATAGATTGCAAGTAAGTGATGAGGGAGAGGAAGGCATTAAGCATGAATACTATGTTTCTAGTTTGCATCTCTATGTGGATGTTGGTATTACTAGCTGGAATATGGAATATTGAAAAAGGTTTGTACTTGGTCAGTAAAAGATGATGAGTTCAGTTTTGGGCACTGAATTTGAGATATCTGCAAAATAATCACCAAAGTGCATTAATGTATTTCCCATCCATGTCTTAATTACATCTAAAAACTAAGGATGGACTAGCTGTTCTTATGTCTATTTCTCTATTAAATTGTAAGCTTCTCAAGGACAAACCATTGTTCTACTTCTGAAATCTAATATAGACCTTGGTAGATTGTAAACACTCAAATGCTGTTGGGAAAGTGAATGAAAGAGATCAGGTGGCTGGCATTGTCTGAAAGGTTTGGAGTTTTGTTTTGTTTTGTTTTTTGCAATGTGACATCAACCTGAATTCTTAGTTCTTTTATATCTTCTAGTGCAGGAATGTTGCTCTATGTTTGTATCTTCATCATAGCATTGGCATGTGGTCGGCACCTAATGGGTCTGAAATGCATGAACTCGCTTGGGTTTTCAGCCTTATTTCTTACTACTCTACCTCTTGACCATACAGTAGCTCTTGCCATTTTCTGAACCCACTTGAATTCTGTGCCTTTGTGTTTGTTATTTATTTGCAAGAATGACTTAATCTCCTTTCTGTGTTTGGTTAAAGACTGCTAAGCTTTTAAGACTCAACCTGTATTTCTCCCATGAAACCACATTGGTCTCTCAAGCAATGTTAAGCATTTCCTTCCCTATAATCTTACGGCACTTCTACATAGCGCTAACTTAGTGCACATCAACCAAGTATTGTGGATAGCTATCTTTCACTTCCCATTAGCATGCAAATTTTGTAAAACAATAACCTTACCTTCAGTTAATCAGTTCATATTCCAAGTATCTGGTATAGTATCAGACAGAGATATTTCAATGAATCTATTTGGATGTCATTTTCAGTGAGGACATCTTCATTTCATATTTCAATTAGGATAGCTATGATTATTTTAATCAAATATGTTTCCTGTTTTGGGAAGATTGTTTTTTTTTTCAAGCCAAAAAAATTTTCAGGTATTCACCTACTCTCATATTCTCACACACAAAATCATAAATAATATATTCTTAAATACCACACAGATTCCAGAATGATTTTTCAAGTTAGCACCAAATCATTGTTAGTGTATTACTTTGAAAGAGACCTTAAAAACAAGATAGGGCAGACTCAGATCAAAATATTAAATCAGGTTGGGCTGGCACAGGCCATCATGTTGCAGCAGGATAGTAATGATGACACTGAAGATATTTCAATTGATACAGAAGGGAAGACAACTAGTAGACCATTGTAGTAACGTCAACTGATATCAGATCTAAAATCAGATATCCAGTTATATCATTTTTCCATCTGTTCTTTTGAGTCCACACACTTGTAGCCTGTCTTTTCTGTGAATTGCTCAGCAACAGATTTATTGTCTGCATGGTGACAATTATCTTGTTGTCTTGTGACTTTGGGGCCAGTGAATAATGTCACAGGTAGACTAATGGTTAACCTGCATTGGTGGAATCACCTTGATGAAGATAGAAAGAGCCATTAGGTGTTTGAGTCCAGGAAAGTATCCTCACGGGAATAAAACTGTTTCAGAGGTTGAATCAAGAATCTTTGGTTTGGACAAGGATTTATTGCCTGTCCGGGGCTATGGGTGATATTTACCTTTAGTACCCTCTTCTCCATTAAAGTGATTGGGGTTGATTATCATAGGTGTGGTGCTACACTAGGTGTAAAGTGGGCAGCAGAAAGACTTTTACCAGCATGGCTACCTTGTATCTTGGAAAGCAGTTTTAAAGACAAAACAATAGAGATAATCAGACTTCCTGACTAGAGAGCAAAAGCTTATGTGTTCTGTGACATTGGGGAAAAACTGAAGAGATTCTTGACTCTGAACCATGTAGCATTCAGTCGATGTTACAATGAGAAGTGTTGGGTTTGTTTTTAAATTTAAAATTTTTATTTAACAAAAGGAAAAGTAATTTTCATATTAAACTTTTATTTTCCTTCCAGAAGTTGGGGCTAGAAAATATGCTGTCACTAGACACATTGTCAAATTTTGTTTTATGCACATAGCCATGTAGTATCAATATATTCCAAATTAATGAACAGAAACCTTTGCATTTTGATCTAAAGAACATAGGAGGATGCTTATAATCTATCTCAAAGCTCTATGTGTTTACATATTATTTCTGTAGCTTATTTTCAGAATCAAGCTTGCTTCCACGGTAAGAATGAGCAACTTAACTTATGCATAAGTTAAAGATAACATTTAAACTTTAATGTACTTCATGGTGAAATTTCATAGATATATGCAAGCAAATTAAAACCAAACTTGGGCCAGTGGTGTTAACTAATTTCTAAAATTTTGTTTATTTTTATTTCATACAAGTCATTCACTTAAAGTTCAATTAATGCAAATGAAATTGTTGTAGCTTATGTTTAAGGGATACTCAGAGATTTCTGCTAACAGTTTATTAAAATGTTAGCCACATTTTATTTTGGAACTTTCTGGAAACTCTTCAGTGATCCTTGGGCTAATAAAATATTTTTTTGTCACTAAAAGAATATTATTCTTATGTCATAATGAGAATAATCATTTAAATATTTGGCTTAAAATGCCTAAAAGACATTTTGTTTTGTGACTCCTTTTTTTTCTTGCAATAATAGTGATCTTGTAAATCATAAATTTGTATTAATTTCTTAAAATAATTCATATAGCGATAAAATAAGCTAACCTAAAAACTATTGCAGACATCTATAAATTCTGTTGTAGGTGTTATAAATTTTCTTAGTTTTTTAATCAGCATGTTGTGAATATATTTATCCATTGTTAAAATACTGTAAAGATGTTTTTGAGCAATTGAATATGTATCTTTCTTTATTGGAATGATAGCTTTGAAGGTGCAAAACTTTATATTTGTATGAAATGGTACCGTTTACAAAGAAAAAAGGTAGATCTGATATTGTTCTTTGATGTGTTAATCAAATCCCAGGTATTATCGGCTTAAAGAAAACAAAAAATATAGCATCCAGACTATTTGTTCAAAACATAAAGGCTCTGTCAAGATTTCAAGAGTACAATTCTTGTTTAAAATCTATTTCCTCTGTCCTAGATTTATGATCCCAACAACAATCGATATGAAGTCCCAGTTCCCCTGAATATACCTAAAATTCCAACTAGCACCTCTCAGAGTCAACTCTATGATGTCCTCATTAAGAAGAATCCATTTGGTATTGAAATTCTCCGGAAGAACACAGGCACTGTAATGTATGTAGCTTCTTGTCTGATTTGGAATTGATGGTTACCTGTACATTCATTGCCATTGTCCTTGTGGTCTCCTGGCTCAAAGCATCACACTGTCCATTTCCAGATCCACGAATAGGTTATTTCTTTCATGACTGTTATGGGAAATCCTAAGTATCCTGGGAATAATTACTGAGGCAGTTGAATGTACCTGGGGATTCATAGAACACATATTTATGTAGTACATTCTCTGTTTGTTATAGACAGATGAGGTCTCAGGACTCATGACAAATAATGAAAAGTTAATAACAAAGATAATTTAAATTATAATATAAAAGGAAGTTGAAATAGACATAACTGCTATGTAGGAAAAAAGACCTAGATAATTGAGAGTTAAGGAAGGTTACTGCTTTTGATACTGTGGAAGGGTAAGTCTCTCCAAGGAGGTAACATTTGAAATAGGATCTAAATGAGGAGAAAACCGCAACTCACATGGAAATATGGGGATGGAAAAGAGCGTTTTAGACAGAGGGACTAATAAGTACCTTGGCTGTGAAATGAAGGGAACTGGATGTGTTAAGTAATAGAAAAAGTTTGATGTGGTTGGAATAACATAGGGAGTAAGGAGATGAGTGCTGGATGATGAAGTGGGGATACTAGGCGGGCTTCAGTCAGGCACAGCCTTCAAGGCTTCATAAGAGCTTTCAAGAGAAGCCACTGAAAAAGTATAAATGGGATAGTAGCATGATGTGAGATACTTGTAAAAAGCATCATTCTGGTTGCTTTCAAGGAAATGGACTGAAGGAAGCAAGAGTGAAATGAGGACTGGTGTGGAGGGGTTGCAGTTAAGATGGTGTGAAGTGCTTGAATTTGGTATTGTGAAAGGAATGTTGAAAGGAGGCAGTGACAGAAGGAAATAGAAGAATAAATGATGATGACTCCTGAGCTTTTAGCAAGGATAGCTATGACTATTTTAATTAAATAAATTCCAAGTGTTGTTTGGGAGATGAACAGGTTCTAGGTGGTAGGGAGGGAATAAAAAGTTCTGTTGTCCTTGAAAAGTCAACAGCTTGCAGCTGATAGAAACTCCCTCATTTTTCTTTTCTTTGTTTTTTTTAAATTTTCAAATCTGTCTTTTTGTGTCATGTTGCAGTTGGGACTCTCAGCTCCTTGGCTTCACCTTCAATGATATGTTTATCCGCATCTCCACTCGCCTTCCTTCTGAGTACATCTATGGCTTTGGAGAAACTGAACACACAGCTTTTAGGAGAGACTTGAATTGGCACACATGGGGGATGTTCTCCCGAGACCAACCCCCAGGGGTAAGGACAGAGCACATAGAATCTGTGTTTGCCTCTTTCCGTCCGCACTGTGTACCGTTCATGTATCATCTTCCCAAACTCAACTTGGATTGTCACATTCTGCTTCTAGCCAAGGGTGTCAGTTTTTTTCTGTGTGTTTATTTTTGTCCATGTGTTTAATTTATTTCATGGAGAAGACTAGTCTCATCCTTGCAATTAAGTTATTGTTGAGTGTTTTTCTTAGCCACCGTGTCTATTAACCTCCTACCACTTCTCCCTCATCACTCTCCAGTACAAAAAGAATTCCTATGGTGTTCATCCCTACTACATGGGACTAGAGGAGGATGGCAGTGCCCATGGAGTGCTTCTGCTGAACAGCAATGCCATGGGTAAGATGATCTGACATATTCATTATTTTTGTGTACCAGTCATTTTTTTTTAAACTAAATTTTTGATGCAAGGGGTACATGTGTATCCAATGTTTAGGTTCCCAGTTAGAAGTGAGAACATGCGGTATTCAGTTTTCTGTTTCTGTGTTAATTTGCTTAGAATAATGGCCTCCAGTTGTATCCATGTTGTCACAAAGGGTATGCTTTTATGATTCTTTATACCTGTTATATTCCATGGTGCACCAATTTCTTTATTCAGCTCACCATTGTTGAGCACCTAGGCTGGTTGCATGATTTCGCTATTCTGAATAGTGCTGCAGTAAACATACAAATACAGATATCTTTTTGGTAGAACAATTTATATTCCTTTCGATATATACCCAGTAGTGATATTGCTAGGTTGAGTGGTAAATCTATTTTAGTTATTTGAGAAATCTCAAAACTGTTTTTTACAAGGGCTAAGCTAGTTTATATCCCCGTTAACAGTGTATGAACGTTTCCTTTTCTCTGGAACATCTGTTGCTTTTTGACTGATTAATAATAGCCATTCTGACTGGTGTGAGTTGGTATCTGTCATTGTGGGTTTTATTTGCATTTCTCTCATAATTAGTGATATTGAGCATTTTTTTCATATATTTGTTGGTCACTTGTATGTCTTCTTTTGAAAAATATCTGTTGATACTTTTTGCTCCCTTTTTGAAGTGAATATTTGTTTCTTTCAAGTTGTTTGAGTTCCTTATAGATTCTGAATATTAGCTCTTTGTCAGATGCATTGTTTGCAAGTATTTTTCCCCATTCGGTAGGTTGTGTGTTTACTGTGTTGTTTGTTTGTTTGTTTAATAGATAGTATTGTATCCTTGTCAGTTTCCAGGTCTTTACAAATGTACAATTGTTATGTAAGCTTCCACTGGGGAAACTGGACGAGGTGTACATGGCACTATTTTGCAACTCTCATTAAACTATTCATAAATTTAAAAGTAATAATAATTTTAAAAGAGCAGAATGACAAGGAATATTAAAGCACACAAAAGGGGGTAAAATCCAAGGATTGGATCCTGAAGACTTTCACTTGACCTCTTTAATTCCATGTGCATATAGTACAAAATGCCTGCTTTACCTCTTTAATTCCATGTGCATATAGAACAAAATGCCACAACAGAGGAGCACAGGAAAAGGGAGAAGGTATGAATTTCAGGGATAATTCTTCATCTTGACAGGTTGGCATTTTCCTATATTTCCAGATGTGACGTTTCAGCCCATGCCTGCCTTGACATACCGCACCACAGGGGGAATTCTGGACTTTTATGTGTTCTTGGGGCCAACTCCAGAGCTTGTCACCCAGCAATACACTGAGGTATGGGGAAACTCATTTGGTTGTCAAGTATTTATACAGCACATTTTGTATTTCAAAATCCATACTCATTAATATAGCTCTCAGATGATAGCTAGAATTGTTGATCTTTCTTGGAGACAGATTACAGAATAAGAAAAAATAAATACATTCCAATAAGCATTAAATGTATAACCTCTCTAAGCATTGCAGAATACCAAAGGTAGCAGTGGTACCGTTGGTGGTGATGGTAGGGATGGTGGTCATTGTTATAGTGATGGTGATGGTGATGATGGTGGTGGGGAATGATGGTGATGTGGGGTGGGGGTGGAGATGGTGATAGTGATGGTAATGGTGGTGGTAGTGATAGAGGTAGTGGTGGTAATGGTGATGGCAGTGGTAGTGGTTATTGTGGATATAGTCAGGGTGGGGTGAGGGCAGTAGTGATGGTGGTGATTATTGTGGTGGTGATGTGAAGGTGGGGTGGAGGTGGTGGTTATGGTGGTAGTGATGATGGTCGTGATAGAGGTGAGGGTGATGATGGTGATGATGTATTGGGGGCAGTGAGGGTGTTGCTAGTTGTAACAGTAATGATGGTGGTGGTGGTGATAGTGGTGGTGATGGTGAGGATAGTAGGGGTGGTGGTGATGATGGTGATAGTGATGGCATTGGTGCTGCAGGCTGGTGAGGGTAGTGATGGTGTTGGTGAGGGTCGTAGGTCAATGAGGGTCTGTAGTGGGGGAGGTATGGTGGTAATAGGAGTGAGTGTTGTGGTGGGGTTAAGGGTGGTGGTGGTAATAGTGGTGGTAATGGTAATGATGATGGAAGTAGTGATGGTGATGATGGTGGTGATAGCAGTGGCAGTAGTGGTTATTGTGGTAGTGATGGTGTTGGCAGGGGTGATGGAGTAATGGGGTTGTAGTTGGAGTGGTGGTGGTGATGGTGGCAGGAGTGGTGCTAATGGGGGTGACAGTGGTGGTTGTGCCAGCACTAACACTTATATAGTACTTATTGTACATCATTCAGTTCTCACAAAAACACCACAAGGCAGCTACTATTATTATCCCCAATTTACAGTTAAATAAACTGAAGCACAAAGAAGGTACTTAACTTCTACCCCAGGTCATTTAGCTAGCAGGACTGGAGCCTGTATGTTGACACAGGCATTTTTACCTTTGAGTTTCATGTTCTTAACCAGTAAACTAGAATGCCTCTAGGGATCAGAGTAACACCAGGCTTCCCAGAGTTCCTGGAGAGGGAGCTCAAGACCAAAAGGAAACTTTCTCCAAGGTATCCTGGTGGCTCTGCATCCGGTCAATTTCTCTCTGGATTTGAATTTGTTGATTGCCTAACTTGGGGCATAAGGAAATATTCTCATTACTTTGTGTTTAACTTCAATCCAGTATTTCCTTTTTGAGGATTAATATTTTCTATTTTCTAGTTGATTGGTCGGCCTGTGATGGTACCTTACTGGTCCTTGGGGTTCCAACTGTGTCGCTATGGATACGAGAATGACTCTGAGATTGCCAGCTTATACGATGAGATGGTGGCCGCCCAGATCCCCTATGTACGTTCTTAGTCATGACTCTGGGACCTCATAGTTGACCCAGGTGCCTCTGTGTCTAAATTCTTTTGTCTGACTTTTGTGGGTTTCTAAAATATACAAAATACTTTTCCATGCTATGCCACAATGAGGCTCATTCTAGCACAGCAAAATAGGTGGGGTCCCTTGTCCCCATCGTCTAGAGATGGTGGCTCAAAGCTCACAGTGATTTGCCAAAGGAGGAGGAAATAGGGCTGGCTCCATGACATTTTCTGCTACATCGTGCATCCTTTCATTTCTTTCACATGATTTAGTCAAAAAAAGAAAATCCTTGGTTCCATAAAAATAAACTATCTCCCCTGGACAATAGTTTTGCTTAATTTTTAAAAAGTTAACCCCAAATCAGTTAGACCATTGTACATGTAGATAAAACCTCAGTTCCAACACCCCTGGAGCTGCAGAACAGTGTCCTGTCAGCTATGAGCTAATCGCTGATGGAATATAAGGATGCTGGGATGGGTTTCCGGAAGAAATACTTATGGAAACACTCTCTGTCCTTCACTTGAGGACAAGAGGGAGTCCAGTAATTAGATAACTGATCCCATGAACCATTGCATATTTAATTTTACCTTCTACTTTCTGTTGTTTACAATTGTTCTAATGGAAAGTGCACTATGCAGTATTTTGTTCTTGATAAGAAAACAGTGTACAATTACTATCAAGATTGGGTATTAAAAAGCAACTATAGATTTTTGTTTTGTTTTGTTTCATAGTAGAGCCACCATCCATGTTAGTACTGGGTTGTTAACATTATTTTCTCTGAACATGAATCACTGATACCAGCCTCTTGGGAGAGGTAATCACAGTCACTATACTGGCAGTTTACAAAGCACCGTTTCATCCAGTTTTTATGTATCAGAGAGTCATTATCACCCTATTTTCTGCTGACTTAGTTTTCTTTCTATTTTATTTCTGAAAATTTGAAAAATTGGGTGAATTTCCTGGACCCATGCCTAAAAAACGATGAAACTTGGATTGGAACGAGTCAACAAGAAGTCATCTAAAATTCACCATGGGGTAGTGGAGAGCTATTCTCCTGTGGAACCTGCACTTGCACGACAGCAGTCACTCTGTTTTCTGTCCTCCCACAGGACGTGCAGTATTCAGACATCGACTACATGGAGCGACAGCTGGACTTCACCCTCAGCCCCAAGTTTGCTGGATTTCCAGCTCTGATCAATCGCATGAAGGCCGATGGGATGCGTGTCATCCTCATTCTGGTTAGTCCTTATGGGCATGTATGGAATCTGCCCAGGAGAATAAATGAGTTTTGGTAGAAAAACCCTCATCCTGTCTTTCCTTCCATGTTATGAGTAGAGAAATTGAAGTATGTTAAAAAATGTATGTTTCGCCGGGCTCGGTGGCTCAGTCTGTAATCCCATGCCTTTGGGAGGCTGAGGTGAATGGATTGCCTGAGCCCGCGGGTTCGAGACCCGCCTGAGCAGCGAGACCTCATCTCTACAATAAACCAAAAAAAAAAAAATCATCCGGGTGTGATAGCGCATGCCTGTAATTCCAGCTACTTGG